TCAAAATTTACTGAGGCATACAAGAAGAGCTGTTATTTTGCATATGGGACTGGAAAATGAAACGACAGTATCCCTGTTGTATGAGAAAATGAGATAAATCCAAGTTGCTTTGCATTCATAAAGTAGCAATGAGCTAAAAATCTCACAGCCAGATCCACACAGACATTCATGCAAAAAAGTTTAAACCGCATTCTATGTTAAGAAGCCAATTCAGGGAATATGTTCTATCTATTCACCTCTTTTTCAACAATTTATCTCCTTCCCTCACTCTCTCTTACTCTTCCTTCAATCACTCTCTTTTCTTTTTTAAATTCCTATGACAATTTCTAATGTTCATGGTTTTAGACTTAACTGTGATTATCCTTAACACTTTTAAAAAGAGAACTTATCAGTTGTTATTGTGATTGTAATTTAGCAGAGATATTACCTACTCAAAAGCCTTTTTACAATAAACAACACGAGAAGTTTGAAAACCAGTAACACATCCAAATGACACAATAGGACGATATTCTGGCCCAAATCTACCCCCGATTTCTTATAGAAAACAAAAATAGCTTATAAATCTGCTCTACATTTCCAGCAAATTGAAAAAGAAGAGCAAAAGAAGAAGAAACAGCAACAAACCATTTACTGGATATAGGTCATGAGGGTATGTTCAAATTAACAGGCTATTGCCTTCATCAGCCTTGCAACCTTACCGAAGCTTTGGAAGGTATCAGAGCATATTCTTGGCATATATTCTCTCTTCCAAGATCTTGCTATTAAACCAGCATGATGGAGGTTAATCTGTTAGGTTACTTTTCATTGTTGGATTCAGTTGTATTGGAAAATTCTTATTCTTTTATCCAGATTTTTTTCTGATTAAAAGCTCACATATTTGAGACAATATATTGTAACAGATGCTTGTATAATCTACAGGTATGAAAAAGAATGTAAACTGTATATAAATATTACACTAACATTAATTTCATTTATATTGTAATTAAAGCAGAAGTAGGATAATGCATCCAAAGTTATAGGCCACTCTGATAATGTATTCTAATATTGTTTTTCTGTTACATAGTCAGCAAAATTTGTTGACATATCTTAGAGAATTCCACATAAAAATGTGAAAGGCAAAGCCACACTCCCAACAAATTCCTTCCAAAATTCTAATGAAAAGATATCTTTCTGACAAGACACACTAAATATTACATAATGTAATTAGCATTTATGACTCACATGCACATTAATAATCTTCATCATTATGTTATATTTAGAGTATATCACCATTTACAAAGTTTGTATTATTCACTGAAACTTCATGAAGTGCCAGGAAGATCCAGTTAATCAGTGAGTCATATAAATGTATCTCCCCACCAACCATACAGAGGCACACGCTTTTTGCTTCCTCTGTATTCTCACTGCTAAAGCATTGGTTCAGACTTTCAGTATCTTTCTTTCTTTGGTCAGTAAACTTCCAAATGATAGCTGGTTTCCAGGTGTTCTGTGGTTAGCTCCTCCTCTACACTACTAACTACTATCCGTATTAGTTTTCTAGAAGACACTCTATATAAAGGCATTCTTAGTGATTCTTTTTTGGTTAAAAGACAAATCTTAGCTTCCGAAGAGATAAGGCTTGCAACATTCTCTAACTAACCTCCAAACTTGCTATTCAGCATCTCCTGCTACCCCTTCTCCATTCATGTGCTGATTGCTCCAGCTGAAAGCAAATGGCTTACCTTTGTCCCTGTTCTTTACTATTCCTGCTCTTTTGAACCTGCATGATTTAGCAGAGATTATGCCTTCACTCTAAAGTGATTTTCTCATGAAAACTTACTAAGTATTACTTTTCTAGCTTATCTATAACCTTGTCTAGAGATACATGTATAAGAAAATTTCTGAGGTTTCTTTCTGAGGTTCCTGGTGGAGTAAGTTGTCCCTATAAGAAGTCAAATTTTATTTGTTTACAATTTTATACCATATTTTATATTATAGCATGACCAAATACATACTTGTAACTCCTGTCAAAAATGTCGATTTGTGAAAGGGACAGTTGTGGAAGGGATAGTTCATTTTCCTAAGCCATAGCTACATTGAATGTTTCTGATCAGGGTTCATAATATCAATTATAAATGGCATACAAAATATCATTCTTTATTCACATTTGCATTTATTTATTCTAATATTGAGAAGAACAATTTTACCTTCTCTTTCTTTCAAATTTTGAATGCTTTAATCTTTAATGACTTCACTAACTGGGATTTGGTAAAAGATCAGCTTGAAAATGGGGTTTCACAAAGAATTCTTCTTTGAAAATCTTTCTGAATCTTCAATAAACTCTCAAGGTTGTTCAAAAATGACCTTTGGGTCATAAAATATTATTAGGTTTTACAACTGCATATCTTGAGTGGGAACCAGTTGGCCAGAGCTTAGAGGGGAGATTTGTGGTTCTGTTAAATTCTCTTTTATATAATACCTGGTGCTGCAAGGGAACCCTGTGGGTATCTGGTAAGTATTACTTCAAGATAATGAATATATAAAGAAGCACTATGTCAGACAAGATTTGCAATCTTACTGTGTTCTCATCCTACGTCACAGAGTGTTCTGAGCAGCACAATGAAACTGCTGCTTGATTGCAATGCTAGCGAAAATTCATTCAAGCATGCTCTTAGGGGTCAATTTTTAAATTATAAAGTGAGGTTTGATCAACTTTTTCAGTAGCCCATATTTTAAAGTTCCTTGGGTATAATTATCATTGCTTAATATTGCCTCTGTCTTTTCTGCTGAAAACTTAATTCATGCTCTGGAGGCTTTTCCAGCATCAACTGGGAATTCATTAAAATGCAGAGTTTCAGATCCCATGTCAGATTTACTGAAGCAAAATCTGCATTTTAACAGGATCTTCAGTTGACTAAATGCAGCTTAAAGTTTGAGAGACACTGATATAAGCCACTAAGAAGCATAATTTTCTGAATTCTATTAGTTTGATACAACCTAAGACAATACAACTTAGAATGTAAAATTAAAATATTAAATTATTCATTCATAACACACTGAAGAGAAAGAATGTTTGTGGCCTATTTTTAGAGTGATTTTGACCACCAAGTCATAATTATCTTAATAGTGTCCTCTTATGAGTCAAGCAATTTTATATGTAGCACTTTTGACCACATTTTATACTTTGTATTGTAGTTATCTATGTGCAAGCCTCATTTATTAAGGAGCTCTTTGAAATTGTTGAATGTAGGGACTTAGTTTATACTTCATATGACCTGGAAAATGAGCTTCCCAACATTCAGAAATACTGATTATTCAATAGCATAGATCAATTGCTTATTGAAAAACAAATATTAGTTTAAAAGCTATTTTTAAAACTATTTTAAAATTCATAAGGAGCCAAAAAGAGTCTAAATAGCCAAGTAAATCCTAAGCAAAAAGAACAAAGCTGGAGGCATCACATTATATGATTTCAAACTATACTACAAGGCTACAGTAACCAAAAGAGCATGGTACTGGTGTAAAAATAGGCATATAGACCAATGGAACAGAATAGAGAGCCCAGAAATAAGGTCAAACACCTACAACTATCTAATCTGTGACAAAGCTAACAAAAACAAGCATTGGGGAAAAGACTCCCTATTCAATAAATGCTGCTAGGATAATTGGCTAGCCATATGCAGAAGAACAAAACTGGACTCTTTTTTTACACCATGTACAAAAATTAACTCAAGATAAAGACTTAAATGTAAAACCTGCAACTATAAAATACATGGAAGATAACCTAGGCAGTACCATCCTGGACATAGGAAAGGGCAAAAGATTTCATGACAAAGACACCAAAAGCAAAAATTGACAAGTGGGATCTAATTATGCTTAAGAGCTTCTGCACAGCAGGAGAAACTATCAACAAACAATCTACAAAATAGGATAAAGTATTTACAAGCTGTGTAATATCATCTGACAAAGGTCTAATGTCCAGCATCTATAAAGAGCTTAAATAAATTTACAGAAGAAAAATAGCCCCATTGAAAAATGGGCAAAGAACATGAAGTGACACTTTTCAAAAGAATACATGCATGTGATCAACAAGCATATGAAAAAAATATGAACATCACTGATCGCTAGAGAAATGCAAATCAAAATCACAATGAGATACTATCTCACAGCAGTCCGAATGGCTATTAAAAAGTCAGAAAATAACAGCTGCTGGTGAGGTTGCTGAGTAAAGGGCATACTTATATATTATTGGTGGGAGACTAAATTAGTTCAACCATTGTGGAAGACAATGTGACAATTCCACAGAGAGCTAAAAACAGAGCTACCATTCAACCTAACAATCCCATTATTGGGTATATACCCCCAAAGAAATATAAATCATTCTACCCTGAAGACACATGAACACAAATGTTCATGGCAGCACTGCTCACAATAGCAAAGACATGGAATCAACTTAAATGCCCATTGGTGACAGATTGGATACTCCATGGAATACTATGCAGCCATAACAAATATTGAGATTATTTCTTTTGGGGAATGTAAATGAACCTGGAGGCTATTATCCTTAGCAAACTAATGCAGATACAGAAAAACTAATAACACATGTTCTCACTTATAAGTAGGAGCTAAATGATGAGAATTCATAACACAAGGAAACAACAGACACTGGGGTCTACTTGAGGGTTGGAGGGTGGGAGGAGGGAAAGGAGCAGAAAAGATAACTGTTGAGTACTGAGCTTAACACTTGTTTGATGAAATAATTTGTACAGCAAACCACTCTGACACAAGTTTACCTATGTAACCTTCATGTGTCCCAAACATAAAAGCCCTCCCCCAAAAAAATAAATATTAGTTTATCTTGGGATATTTAGTTTCTGTACATACAAGGTATTATATTGTAATATATTTTTATAATTATATATGTTAAGTGCTCATAAATATCTAAATATATTATTAATAATTATAGTTTTATTAATCTGATTTATGCATATATTTTTAAAATATATATTAATTATCTACTTTATGCCAGGCAATGTTCTATATTGTTGGGAAACTGTAGTGAATAAGACAGCCAAAACTTCCTCTTTTTGTGGAGATAACATTTTAGTGGGGAAAACGAAAAACAAATAAAAATCAAATCATGGCTGGGAGTGGTGGCTCAGTCTTGAAATCCCAGTACTTTGGGAGGCCAAGGGGAGTGGATCACCTGAATTCAAGAGTTTGAGACCAGCCAGGCCAACATAGTGAAACCCTGTCTCTACCCAAAACACAAAAATTAGCCTCGAGTGGTGGCTTACATCTAGAGTCCCAGCTACTCTGGAGGCTGAGGCAGGAGAATTGCTTGAACCTGGGAGCTGGAGTTTGCAGTGACCTGAGCTCACACTACTGCACTCCGGCCTTGGCACAGAGTGAGACTCTGTCTCAAAAAGAAAAAAAATCTAATTATTTGGCAATATTTGTTTTAGAGAAAAATAAAGCAGAAATTTTAATAAGGGATGCAGAGATAATAGAAAAGAGCATGGGATGGATGTTGCCCCACTGAGCTTTATAAGTTTATAAGGACTACAATCCAGGACTGAAAATAAATCTTAGATGCTCAAGTTTTATGATGATTGATATAAATGGGAGAAAAAAAGACATAAAGAAATTAATTTGGATAATTGATACAGATAATAATGGAAGACTTGCGAGTATTGGGGATTGGTCAGAAAGAATAGGGTCTTACTAGGTGACATAGATTTCCAAAACACTGTTTTCATTCTTGGCAAAATATCTGAGAGGCTAGAAATAGGTTGGTTTATAGGGCACTTGCAGATTTCTAGGGTATCATTTGAATCATGTTTCTAAAAATATGTCTTGTTGAGGTCTCATTTCATCTTCACTTAAACAGATGATTCAGAAATTATTATCCTTAATGGATATTGAAGAAACAAAAAGCCAGAGATTAATTATTTTTAGTTGGCAACATAGGCAAGCAACAGACCACACTGTCTCTACTGTGACATAACATAAATAACATTTACACTGATATAAAATTTAGATTTCACCCCAAATTTGTCATTAATTCACACCAGTAAAGTGGAGACACTGTAAGAAAAAGAAACATCCTTTCTGCTGCCATAGTCCATGAACCAAAATCTTTCTGGGTCTGATTTGCGATTCCCACTCTTAGAAGTCTTTCCAAGTTTGTGAGATCTAAACCAAAATCAATTATCAGGCAGGAACGTTAGGCAGAGGAACAATGATAAAGGAAAGCAGAAATCCCTTGTCAAGAGAAAAGTTTGAGTTCTTTGGAGTGTCCAAAACGGCTTACTCATATACATTCACATCGTCACACTGTAAACAAGTCATAGCTTCTTTCCAATGCTTTAGCTTCAAGGCAGTCAGGCCTAGTGAGACATTAAACTGAAATGGCAGGAAGGCTAACACAGTGTCACAAAGGAGGCAGTTCGCCTCACTATTTCTAAATAAGGGCACTCATCCCTGAGAACACAGGCTTCTCTACATGAAGTAGAGGTTTCTGCTTCCTTGTACTTCTGCTCAGATATCACACATTTAAAATAGCCTCAAGTAATGAAAGCCTGGAAAGTTTTTGAAAGTCAACATATACTAGCTGGCAAATCTTGCCTTTTCATATTCTCCAGGTAAAGTGTTCAGCCTCTGCCCTCTTTAACACTGCATTGTAATGGCCTTTCTCAACATTGTTTTGTGTAATGGCTCTGATCCCTCAAGAATGATGGATGCCTGCCTTTCCTGTAAATGGTTTAACACCATTAATGTGAAGGGGAATGAGGACTGTCAGTACCAGACATTGCTGAAAAGCAACTGATTTTCTGGCTTTTCAGCTTCCAGTTCTATGGAAATTACCCTCAGTCAGAGCCATGTGGTTATTATCTGCCTCAGAAACTTTTAATATTATTCTTTGATTGCTTTGCATGTTTCAGTTACATTTAAGTAACATTGCAACTCCCCTAATTATCCCCAAAGCCAGCATTTTTTATCTAATTCATCAACAGTAATTTGTAACCCAACTTTAATTTTAATGAAAACTACTTGGAGGACCCATGGAGGAAAAAAAAAAAAATGTGGTTTATGTAATTTGTATCTTATGTGTGCAGTCCTATAGCTGAAAACAGAAAAACGTTTTTAATGAAATAAAATAGATGCAAGAAATAAATACTTCTTCCTTTGACTTCTGCTGGGCTTCAGAGCAAGATTATCTATCTATCTATGATCTAGCTAGCTAGCTAGCTGGCTATATATCTATCTGGCTACCTATGTATCTTTATCTCTCTATCTCTCTGTCATCATTATCTATCTACATAACTATTTGTTCAAGGATGGAATTGATAGAGAAAGAAAAAACTAAAAATAATAAGAAAATACTAAATCCCAGATATTGTACCTACAATAATACATTATGTGTTTACTCAGTAATCTTTTGTAATGAGAATTACTCCAATTCATAAATGCTCTTTGGAGAAAGTTGCCTAAAATTAGTTGTCTGACAAACACCAGAAGAACTGTAATTTAAATTTAGGACTTTCTAATTCAAATTTTTGCATCCTTTCTGCCTTATCATTCTGCCTCAGGGCCAGGAATTTGATGGAAACCTAGACTTAGGTAGGGACGCGGTTTTACTTTTTACTTGACTGACAGTGTCTCCAGACAGAGGTTATCCTATCTCGAAAGACTTTGGGAGGACAAATGGGTCAGAAATCAATGAGAGAGAAGAATTCTGGCTGTAGTCTTGATGGCATCTGAACCAAGTATACTCTTCATTGGTACTCATGCCTTTCTCCTTGTTCTTGAGGCTGCTTGTTTTCCATGATCTTACTGAGTCTAAGAAATCTATGTTGTTGTGTTCTTTGTTCTACCCTTCCACTTCTACATATGTTATAATGGATATTAGGATTAATTGATTTTACTTCAATTGTTTTAGTGATAGACTTCACTGTGATGATTTACATGCTAAGGGGATCATATGTAGGTTGAGTACCCCTCGTCTGAAATGCATGGAGCCAGAACTGTTTCAGATTTTTTTAAATTTTAGAACATTTCCATATATATAATGAGACATATTGAGGACAGGACCTAAATCTAAAGACAAAATTCACTTATGTTGTTCATATACACTTTATACACATAACCTGAAGGTAATCTTATACAATATTTAAATGATTTAGTGCATGAAACCAAATTTTGACCCTGTTTTGACTGTGCCCCATCACAAAATTCACAGGTGTAAAATTTCCCACTTGTGGCATCATGTTGGCATTCAAAAAACTGGGGATTTTGGAGAATTCCAGGTTTCAAGTTGTCAGATTAGGGATGTTCAGCCTGTATCAAAAATTAAAAAGGTGACTTCAGATTTTGAAATTTCAATTCTTCTCATTCAACCTCCAGCATCACAATGAATTGTAAAACTCTTTCTTTTCAGAGTTAAGAATTTGAAGATAAATGTTCCATATAATAAAAATTAAACAAATGAACAAGTCATGCTTGCTAATTGGAATTATTACCAGTAAAATAATGTTGAAATTAAAGTTTGAGAGACTGTTTTCTTTTCCTTTAAGAGTAGAGCTATTAAGAGAAGATGATAACATTTTCTAGGCATGAATGAATTACATTAAAGATTGATTAATAAATCTACAGATTAAACCAGATATTATAAGACTCATAAAATGAAAGAGACATTAGAGATTGTGTAATTCATTATTCGCTTAAAAAAATGAGACCCAAGCCATTTATATGATTAACCCAGCATTTTGTAGACAGTATCTGCAAGAGGTAACTTCCAGCCCACAGTGTCTGAATTCCTTACCAACATTACTCAAAACACATTTGTTTCACTTTTTCCCCACCCCATTTTCTTGACTTACACATATATTTAAAAAGCAGATTTTTATTTTGCTTTTATTTCTTACCATGGTAGATCTAAAAATAGACTGAGGTGACAAGGGGACTTACAGCTGGTTTGCTCAACTGTGATACGTGCCTTGATTTTCAATGAGTGGTGAAGACATCCTGCAGTCAGACACCTGCAGGCAATCAACCACACTCCTCTGCTGCACCTCAGGGCCACAGCTCCTGGCAAGCACATCAGAGCAGCAGTCGTCCATTGTGCTGAGCAGCAAGAAGAGCACCTGAGAAGGAATAGTGACAGACACAGGAAGGGCTAACCTAGGCTTGGATCTCATCAATGTCCTGCTAGAAATAAAGCGTTTTAATGAAGATCAACAATCTCTTGATCACTCATCCTTCCAATTTTTGCCAGATGACTCAGATGGCTGCTACCTTGCTCGGGCAAGACAGTTAAACTCCAAATTCTATAATCTAGCTTTTACCCAAAAGCCTGGTTTATCTATTATTGAAGCATCATATAATGTAAGCTTTGTATTAGAGAAAGGTTTTCAAAAACCTTTTGAAAATGCATCAACCTTATAAATCTACTGGGCTATTTTCTACTGGTTTATTTATTGTCTCAGGTAGAAAAACGTAGATATATTTCTAAGATTTTAGCTAGATATACCAAGCACACTGACTCTGAAACACAATGGCATTTTTTTTCCTCCTATGGCACCAAATTTTGCCTGGATATTTTTATCATATAATTCACATATACCAAGTTTTAAAGGGCAGTACAATTTTTAAAACCACACAATTTTCTTATCTGAATTAGTATTATCTTGAATTTTCCCTCTTTCAAAATAAAAATTGTTTAAAAAGGAATACATGATTAAGACAGCAAATAAACATAAAAATGCACAACAGGAAGAACTCAACTAGACAAATAACTCTCATATAATGTCTTTGAAAATATTTTTATGTATTTGTGTGTGTACATTTCTTTTATGAAAATGGAAGTATCAAGTACAAAACCTAGTTTTCCTCATTTAGGTTTTACAGTGAGTATTTTTTCACATCTAAAACCGTAATTTTATAGCACTTTAGAAGGCTCCAAACTATGCCATGAAAATGCAATCGTTTATTTTAGCACTTCTCTGTTGTTGGATATTTAGATCATTTCTGAGTTTCCACTATCTTCAAGTTTATTGAATATGACATTTATCATTGCACAACTCAGAATAAATTACCACAAATGAGTAGCAAGTCAAAGGATATACTCACTTTAAGTTCAAACATTTTATATCAGCTTCTACTCCTATTACTCAAGGGCTCTTGTTTATTTGTTCATTTTTAAAAAATGTTTAATAGCTGTCAACTCTGTGCCAGTCACTATCCTGGATTCTGGAGCAGTGGGTAAGGAAAATAGACTTAGTTGTAGCCTGTAGATGGAAACAGAGTAATTTAAGAGATAGGTGGTTAATCAAATAATTACATTCTATTGTGTACTATGGAAACAATGTAGGATAATATCAGATGACTTAGCAGAGAAATCTTACCTAGTTAAGGAAAGAACGTTTTCCTGAAGAACTGATGATCAAGTCAATATCTGTGGATGAATAGAAGTTAGTATGAGAAAGGACCACAGAGGAAGAATTCTACAAGAGGGAGCAGTCACACTTTTGCTAAGATCTAAGATGTTTTGTGTCAGGAAACATGACAATACCATTAATTGAAAAGTTAACATCACCCCACCAAAGAATTGGAGGAGTGTGAAAAAACTAGTCAGTTATGAAAAAGAAACTGCATTTTCTTTGTATTAAGTTCATATTTTTAACCCAACTACAATGTACATGACTTTTTCCTTTTTGTACTTTCTTTGATTCATTGTATAATTTAGCAATTGTCATTTATAAGTTATCTGATAATGCCCCTATGCCCATTATGTTATCAATATGAATTTTTAAAATATTTTTCATATTCAAATGAGTTATTTATATAAGCATATTGACTTTTGTCACCTCTTATAAATATTTTTCACCTAGATTACAAAGCAAGATTACACTGTTTTGACATACAAAAGTTTTATTTCATGTGGACAAATCTGTTAGACTTTTCTTTATGCTTTATGACTTCAGTGTCATACTTAGAAAGGCCTTTTCCCAATAAGATTATACAAACAATTCTAGTCCTTTGGAATTTATTGCTAGAGGGAAGTTGACCTGCTAAGAGGAATTTGTACTTTTCAGAAGGAGAGCGAATCTTAGGTCATATATACTTAGGCTTTATCAGCCTTATGGTCTTATATCATTTGGCTAACCCTTTAATATCTGTTTTATTGAATGAATTTTAACTACACATGTTGAAAATGGCTTTGAAAACACCACTATGTAAGTGCATAGAAATAGCCTATGGTTGCTGTTCACATGCTGGCATATACTTCCATTTGCCATCCATGCTCAGTCTTGGTGAAGGATTTGCATGAAGAATCTATTGTATTATAATAAAAAAAATATGAAGTTCCCTGCCAAGTATTTTCGGTTGTGTCTCAAATCGTCATCAACATAGTAATTTTTAGGTATGAGTTTGACTTCTGAGCTCCTAATTAAAATAAGACATTACCTAGTTTAAGAATTATACTCCATAAACTACTTAATTAAACCTTAAAGATTTTTTTGACATCTACTCTGCTAGCCTCACCAAAGATGTATATACATTACAAAAAAATTCATATACTGCAGAAACATGGTAAAGCTTTAAAAGAATCACTTGCATCAAAGTTTGTTAAGAATTTTATGAGGAATGTGCTCACAAAGCACAGAGAAGGAGTGTCAGGCTCAGACATTGAGAGCCAGGTGCCTTTCCAGAAGAGCTGGCTGAGTTCTACAAAAAGGGCTACACAGCCTCTTGAAGAGTAAGGGTGGGGTGTTTCTAGGCAACATCCTGCTATAAGAGATAGCATACTGTTTTAGAATAGCAAATAAATCCCTATGGATAAAGAAGACCAGCAGGGTATGTGAAGAGGGAGTAGAACCTGACTTTGTATGACAGATCAGGTAATTTAAATTCTAAAAACTATGGAGAATGGTTGAATGTTTTTAGCTGCCAAGTCACGTGGTCAGAAGGACAAAGACAAAGATACTTCCAAAAGTATAAAAGAACATACATATATTATTAATGTTTTAGGCACAAAATTCAGAAATGTTGATGAGCATCTAGCAAAATAGCCTGACTCTAAAAGACTTTTTAAAATCCACAGTGTAAGTAGCAATGTTTTAATAGTTATATTTAAACACAATCTGGCTTATAAAATTGTTATGCAATTCTGTACTCATAAAAAAAATGAGAAAGAACATTCAAGAGGATTCTGAAAAATAAATTATAATAATTAAAGGCATATAATTGCAGATGCATGAATACATATAGAGACCAAAGGCAAAGAAGAGAAAGACTGGGAATAACCCAAAAGCATATGGAAATTTTGTATGTAACAAAGGCAATTACCTCGAATTAGTAGAGTTAAGATGGACTTGTGAATAAATGATTTTGAGTCAACTGGGTTAGAGAATTTAGATCCATATCTCATGACATATAATCTCTAAATTAATAAAATATATATGTAAAAAATCCTACATAGCTACTCAAAGAAATATGTGAATACATTTTTCAACTTGTACTAAGGAAGAACTTTCTAATTATGACTGAAAACCTAAAAGTCATCCAATTATAAAAAGATAAAACCAACTACAATTACATTAAAACTTCTTCATGGCAGAGAGTATCATTGCAAAGTCAAAATAAGAATAAAAATCTTCAAAATGCTTTACGTCATAGAAAAAATATTTATATTCCCATATACCGAGAGCCCCAAGAAATCAATAAGATAAAAACCAATAGTTCTTAAGCAGATAAAAGGATGTTTAAACGCACTCAAATTAAGAGAAATACAAAAATCTAAAAGATTGACCTCAGTGTCTTTTCATAGGGCAATGGAGAAAATACATTTTCATAACTTGTTGGCAAGAATATGAACAACTTCTATAAGGAAAATTTGGTAACATCTCCTGAAATTACAAATACATCATGCATTGATTCTGCAATTTAACTTTTGGGAGACTATTCTATAGATATTCATGAACACATGCAAATTAAGAATATAAGCATAGTCATTACAGCATTTTTATCTCTGCACCGTATTTACATACTCTGGAGTTTAAAATCAAACTAAAATTTAAGGTATGACTATACATCAAAATATAATGCAGAACTTAAGAAAATAAATTATCTCTGTCCTAACAGTAATTGATGTCTAGAATGTATTCTTAAACTAAATAAAAACATACCAAGACAATATGTAATAATGGTGGGAGAGAATACATATTTGTATTTCTTACAATTTGCATAAAGAAACAATGAAAGAACATGTAAGAAACGAAATAAATATGTTTATATAGGGAATGGGTACAACTGAACAAGACAAAGATTAGAATCAAGAGTTCTCATTGTATACCTTTTTATACTTCTTTCATTTTTTACATGAATTATTTGTTCAAAATATAAAATTAAAATAATATGACAAATAGAAATTCTATTGTATATACATTTATAATTTTACAGAATACATAAACAACTAAAGTAAATAAACAGTACACAAAACAGAAAGAAGTTTCATAATTTACAAAACAAAGAAATTCCATAATTTATTTTTTGTACTTACCTAAGTAAATATTTCATAATGAAAGAACTATAGACTATCATCATAAAATATTGTAAACAGTTGCCCTCTTTAATGTCTTAGCTTTTGGGGGTATCATTGGATGAGGAAACATAATAATATATATTAACAATTATTTTAAAAGTCACTTCTGAGGTTGCATTTGGTAGAAATTGGGAATACCTGTTCATCCTCTGCATATCACTAATTTGAGGTTCTAGGAAGCTTAAATCATTTGTATAATATTAATATAGTAGCAATGGGATGTGTCAGTTGCTTCATAGTTTATTAAACACACTATTTTTGCTCTGCTAAGGTTATTTTGGTTTCCTTTCATACACTTGATGAGGATAGTAAAGTTCCATATAGAAAAGCAGCCAAGGCTAAAATCAATAGCATCATCAGTCAGTTGCTACTTCTTAGGCTCTGTGTGTGGTTCCGTAGCACTTGAAGCCATACCTATGAAAATGGGGCTTTAACCTGAGAAGTCAGAGCAACTGAATACTAAAATAGATTTGCCTACTTTAGAAGTCTTTCAAAAGCCTTCAAGATTGTTCTGGCAACAAAATTATTTACTCCTACAAAACTTCAACTCTGAATTGAATGAAAATGACAGACTTGGACAGAAACCATCAGGAAAATGTACAATGAAGATATGTCTAAATGTAGATCACAGACAACCACAAAGAACAGACAATAAAACAACCATGCCTGTGGCCCTTATTCAGGTGGGGTGATGGGTGATTAAAAGAGAGAAACAAATTTTGCCTAATATTACCTCCAGGTTTTGATGGAAAAAGGGTATAATGCCAAAAACAAGAAAAAAGAAGAGATGAAATTACTTCAATTAGCAAGAGACAGCAGAGGAAGAAAGGAAGAGGTGGGGACAGTAATTATTTAGTACATATTCAAAGGATTCATTGCGTTTTCCAGCACAAATAGAGCTGAGTGTTTATATGAGAAGATCAAAGTTTGAATCAAATAGCCATGTTACCTTTCATTTGGTTTCATATTTTTCTTCATAAGTCATTTTTCTTCATAAGTCATTTCTTCATAAGTGGGGTAGTGACACTATTGACCTTGGCAAAGGAAACCAGTAACTTAAAGCTTGATTTACCAGCAAGTAATGGGCCAGCAGAAGGATTCTATAAAACAGTTGCAAGTTGCCATCTTAAGCAGTTGTAGGGGTTCTGATCGGCAGTTAGACTTGTCAGTTTCAGCTCATTGGACCTATATTTTGTTGATATTGTTTGGCTGTTTCCTTGGCTGGTTGCCAGTAAAGGATCAAGCAACAAAATTTCTTGGAAAAACATTTAAAAATTAGTAGTTTAAAATAATTACCTTTAACATTTTCTAAAGTGTTTTTATGTGTTGTTAGGCAGCTGAAGAAAGACGTTGGCATATAACCATCTAGTTAGAATTTAAAATTAAATCAGTGACACTCTAAGGTGACCAATGGAACTTCAATTATTCATAGTGAAAGAAGGCTGAGCGTTCTTAATGCACATAATTTTAAATTTAATGATTATCAAAAACTATGAATTGAAAAGTTGTGTTGGAAATTACTCATTTCTTTTTTAAAAGATGAATGATTACAAAACTACATGGCTCAAGTAGATTTTAAAATTCAAGGCCATCCTAATTCATACTTGATATAAATTTAAAAAGTTGAACTCTCTTCAGAATCTTAATATAAATAACAATGTACTCCACCACAGCTGTCATTCTCTCTGCCATTGCGCCCTGATTTTTTTAGTTCACACCATGTATTAAAATTAGCCTTTGTAGGTTTATGTGTGTGTTTTCATCTTCATTGTCTCTCTCTCCCTGTAGACTAAAAGCTCCATAATGGTAACATTCACCTATTTTTTTTTCTTTTTTTACTGTTGAAAATTTGGCATAAAGTAAGTGCTTAGTAAATGTTTGATAATGAGTGTATCAACCAAGGAATCTAACAATCAAAATAGAAGGTTTTTATCTTCTGTTTGGGACTAAGGTATGAGATTGCATAGCTGATGTTCAGGCGAGAGCTTGCTCCCAAAATTTGGTCATTAAAATTTTTGTTTTTGTGTTGCTTGATAGGCTAAACACACATTCTCTCATTTAGGGATTCTTCAGGATAATATATTTATTTCCCTGGCACAAGGAAAAGCACATGGTATACCACATCTAACAAGTTCTTTAAGGATCTTCAATATTTTTTTCTAGACTCTAGACTCTTAACTTATTATAGAACATCCAAAATACATGCTGATCCTTCTAAAAAAGATTATCCTGCCAGGCCCATTGTTTTGTTTTGTTTTTAAGGCTGAAAATATCACTTGCCCAAGACATGATAGTAGTGTGTATTTTCATGGCTGAGGAAAGGTGTTTTCTTTTTATGTCACATTTTATTGTATATACACTACTATTTTAAAGCTCTTTTCAGGCATCTTTCTAAAAACTATAATTGCTGGCTAGATATTATTATAAACATCCTAAAATGAGTAAACGAAGATTCTGAGAGGTTAAATAACTTGCTTAAAGTTTCTTGTCTGGTAACTGATTCAAAACCAGGTTATCAAACTAAACAAAGCTTATGCTCTTAACCACTATTCTACCAACTATAACTCAGTCTAGAATCTAATTTTTGTTTCTGAAATAGGCTCAGGAGTTATATTGCAACCCAGGGTTTTCATTGAGCAGAGTGATTAGCCCCATTTCATGAGGCATATAGAGAAATGGTCACAGATGGGTATTTGGCTCGACATAAAAAATTGTGGAGGAAAAAAATGCCTCTGTTCTACCTCTATGTCCTTTTGCATTATGTTTCTAACCTTAATAAAATTTCTGCCTAGAAAACAGTAATCTTGATTCAAATTGAGCAGAACTATACCAGCCTTGGCCAATAATAAGACACTGTGGACATAGGGAGGTAATAGCCTCATTAAGCATAATTACAATGAAATTCACAGACACATGATCTCTAACAAGGACCTTGGCCATCCTTTCAATTAGTTCTTAAGGCACTTAATGTTGGTTAACTGCTACTTGGGTGAGAGGATGTTTTAGACAGCAAATCACTGCTGAGTTCTTCAGCCTAGATATAAGAGACTCCGTTTGGGTCATGCAGTAGAGGTGAGCCTTTCGCTCTGCTAGCATGAATCATCTGGAATTTATATAATTGGCGATTATCAAGTACATACCGCATAAAAGAAACTCAGTTACATAAGTCAGAAGATACAAAGGTGAGCAGGTTATTTTTAAATTTTTAAAAAACTTTAGTTAGAACTCATTTTCAGGATTATAATTTGAGTAGTAACAAATCTCTCCAAAAAAATCTTCCTCTATCTTGCCACCCTTGCCACAGTGTCATTCCCTAAAATACAGTTAACAATTACTTTATAATTTTTTCCATAAAGTGCCTTGGCATGTATGTGTTGTATATAAATATATATACATATTTAATTACATGTATATGAATATACACATATTTTCATAATAAACCTATTTTGTGTACATTAGACCAAAGTATAATAATAATATAACATGATAATGTTCTACATAATTTCTTACTTAATATATTAAACAATATATCTTTAGATACTCCAAAACAGTGCAAAGAAATTAGAATAAAACCAAATAGACAAGTTAATATGGTTTGCCTGTGTCCCCACCCAAATCTTATTTTGAATTGTAATTCCCATAATCCCCACGTGTCATGGGAGGGACCAGGTGAGATAATTGAATCATAGGGGTGGTTTCCATCATGCTGTTCCTGATAGTAAGTTCTCACAAGAGCTGATGGTTTTTTACGTGGCTGTCCCCTTCATTCAGCTCTCATTATTCTCTCTCCTGCCACCTTGTGAAAGACAAGTTTGCCTCCCCTTCCACTGTAATCACAAGTTTCATGAGGCCTTCCCAAGCCCTGCAGAGCTGTGAGTCAATTAAACTTATCTACTTTACAAATTATCCAGTTTTGGATATGTCCTTATAGCAGCATGAGAATGGACTAATACACCCATGAATGGCTATAGCAAAATGACTTAACCAGTTTATATTGAAGGATATTTATGTCCTTTATAACACTGCAGGAAATATTTCCACTTTTTTCTTTGTACTTTCATGCAAAAAAATATCTGATGAATTTCCTTTAGAGGAATTGCTGGGTCAAAGAGTATCTGTGTTCAAACTGGAATAGTTGTTATTCAACTGGCTACCAAATATATTTTAGCAGGTATGCTATTTATGTGAAAAAATGGTTGGCAAGCAACTATATAAATAACTTTTTAATAATAAAAATAAAACATGTGCCTTATTAAAAATATTAAATAATCAGAAGAGTTCACAATGAAAACAAACTTTTTTAGAACCTCATTCCCAGTCCTCTCCAAAGGGAAATTAAATTTTAACTCCTTTAATTTTCTCTGTTCTAAATTCTTCTAGTAAATTCTATATTTTACTAATCTCTATATTTTACTAATATCATTGATTAATTAATTTTAGATATCATGCAATTCACTCCTGCTATAGTAAATGGGAATTTGGCTCACTCATATGATTACCAACTTCTTTCTCCTCAACTGGTTTCTTACAACATCGAATGATTATATCATGTGCTTCCATAACTTTGTGCATTATACACAAAACCTTATTTATAGTTACATGAAATATAGATAATTTGTATTGAAATCCCCCTATTAAATTTAAGATACTTCCTTCTTCCTCTCTTTCTAGCCTATCTACTGCCTATAGACTGGAGTTTTAATTTTACCTTAATCTTATTAAGATACATAACATGCATATTCTATTCTGTCATTAATTTAAGCCTCTATACTTTATTTATAGGCTAATTTTAATGTTGAAAATCAACAAATGCTTTATATTACTGTGAATCTGAAGACATAGTTTACTGTAAAGTCAAAGAGTATATTAAGATTATATTCCTTTTGTATTGATTTTACTTTATTTTCTCTTTATTATATCATGTGACTTTTTGTAAACTTTTGTCCTTTCTTTCTATATGTTTTTGGAGTACATGACACTTTAGTCAAAATATCCAAAGAAAATACAAAAATAGCACATACCAGTAAAAATACAAGAGAAACAGTCTAGATGTTCAGGGATTTGTAAATAGAGTAATTATATGTGTGTGTCTGTGTGTCTGTGTCTGTGTGTGTTCGTGTAAGCTATAAAATACTCTACAGAGTCAATAAGAATAAAATTAACCCACTTACACACATGCACATATTATTTACACATTTACATAATATTTATGAGTAGTCACCACCCATGTCAAAAGTTTAAAGCATATGCAACACCTCTCATTGCCCTTTTCAATCAATAATATCCCTCACTATTCTTTTATAACCTTAGATTAGCTTTGCCTGTCTTGAATTTCAAAAGAATAAAACTTATACTACGATCATTATGCATCTAGCTACTTTCACTCATGATTTACATTATTATGGCCATAAGATTTATCTATGTTGCTTCACATAACTTTAGTTTGTTCTTTTTATTTGTAAGTATTATTCCATTGATTTTCTTTATTTATTAGTTTGTTTGCTTTGTTTATTTTTTAGAGTCAGGGTCTCTTTTGGTTGCTCAGGGTGGAGCACAGTGGCATGCAGCCTTGAGCTCCTGGGCTAAAACAATCCTCCTACCTCAGTCTCCCAAAGCTCCAGGATTATAGGCCTGAGCTACTGTAGTTGGCCTGTTTTATTGTTTTTAAATTGCAGAATGTATTCATTCTCTCTGATGAACTCTTAGGTTCTTTGTAGTGTTTCCCTATTATAAATAGTGCTGTTAGGAACATTCTTGTACATGTCCTTTAGCAGATGTAGGGATATTCCTAGGAGTATGATTGGTAGATTATAAATTACTTATATCTTTAGCTTACTTTAATAGATATTATCCAAGTATTATACAAATAATCCCACCAATTGTGTATGAAAGTTCCAGTTGTTCCAGTTCCAGCTATACCTGATGTTGGCATTCGTTTTAATTTTAGCCATTCTAGTGGATGGAAAGTGTTACATTTGTGTTTTAACTTGAATTTTCCTTATAGCAAAATATGTTAAGTGTCTTGATTATTTGTATACTCTATTTTTTGCTCATTTTAAATGAGGTTTCTGACCTTTTACTTTTAGACTTAGATGAGTGCTTTTATATTCTGAATAAAGATCTTTAATCAGATATTTGT